TTATCCTGAAGACTCTGTTTGATGGGGGAAGAAGAGAAGCTTGATGGGAGTAAAGAAAACAATATTAATAAAACTATGCAGCCCAGAGGCTCAGAGCATATGTATGAGAATTATGAATAGGAAAGATGACTTATTACACTGGGTTTGTGTTTCATATTCCTGAAAACTAAAAATAACTGGAGAACAGAGAGTCAGAAGCCAAAATAGTGAGATTAACTCTTACTCAGTCACTTATGGAAGGCATTACAGTACAGCAGTTATGAGCCTAAGTGCCCTGCCACCACATTCACCCATCCTGCCCTTAGGATAGGGATGGGGCAATCTTTGGATCCTGTCCTTTTATTTTATAAACTGTGAGCTCTATGTTCTTGGGTAAGTTGCTGAACTCTAAGACGCTCATTGTTCTCCAGTTAAATGATAATTAAATACCTCAGGATTCTTGTGAGGATTAAGTCTATCCATTTAGTACTTTAGTACATTAGTACTTTAGAGCTGCACCTAACGCAGAATAAGTCTTCCATAATTGCTGGCTATAATTATTATTAATGAAATGACATAACCAACATGAAGTAATATAAGCCAAAAATATTTAGGAAGATGCCAAAATGTATTGGAGAAGGGTGATTCTAAAATATGAGACCAGTAAAAAAAATCACCAATTTTTTATGTGCACAGTAATTAAAGGCTACACTAAGGTAGTAGCAAATGGAAAGTACAAAAATGGGAAAATGCCAGAAAATTTCAAAGTTAAATTTGTCAGAATTTAGGAATTATCTATGGGAGGTAATAAAAAGGAATAAGCTAAGGTGGCTCTAAGAGCTTATTACTAAAGAAACATATCCTTTTGTAAAAATCAGGAGTTAAATTAGTAAATGGGGAGACAGTTTAAATGAAAAGATCATTGTTCATATAAGTATGATGATTTTGCTGTGCTCAGATGGCATTCAGGGAAAATGTCAACCAGAGTCCTGACCAGATAACCAAAGCTTACAAATGGTTGGGCTAGAAAGATATGTAATTCATCAGCTTAAAATGATAAGATAGAATATTGATGGGTAGGGTATTATATGGACAGAAAAAGAAAAGAGAGTGGCTGGGATATGACTTTGGAGAATACCAATCTTTGCACCAGCAAGGAAAAAGACTAACCATTGTTTTCAGAGAAAGAACAACCTGGAATAAAAAAGAAGCACTAATCCAGAGGCCAAGAAAGAAAAGCTTTCAATAAGTGTGTATTAGTTATCACAGGGTGAATGCTAAGGAAGCAAAAAAAAAAAGGGTCATTATTAATAAACATTTATTTAGTGTTTATTGTTTACTGGAAGATCACTACTGATTCTTTTGGGTTTGTTGTGATTTTTTGTTTTTATTTATTTAAATTTTTATTAATATAAAGAGAACAGATTTTATGCACTCCACAGGTACAATTCCAAGAAGACAACCACATTTCCCTCAACAATTTTTGTTGTTATTTATTTGAAATTCAGAACTACAGAGAGAGGGAGAGAGAACTTCCTTCTACTGGCTCACTCACCAAATGACCAAATCCTACCTAAAGCCAGGAGCCAGGAGCCTGGAACTCCATCAAGTTCTCTCACATGGGTGGAAGGGGCTCAAACACTTGGGCCATCTTCATCTGCTTTCCCAGGGGCATTAGTAGGGAGCTGAATTGAAAGTGGAGCAATCAGGACTTAACCCGGCACCCACATGGAATGTTGGTGCTATGATGTGGCCCCTGCTAATGATTATTAAGAGCAAATTCAAGGCTAGAGCCACAGCTCACTAAGCTAATCCTCCGCCTGCGGCGCTGGCACCCCGATTTCTAGTCCCGGTTGGGGTTTCGGGTTCTGTCCCTGTTGCTCCTCTTCCAGTCCAGCTCTCTGCTGTGGCCCGGGAAGGCAGTGGAGCATGGCCCAAGTGCTTGGGCCCTGCACCCACATGGGAGACCAGGAAGAAGCACCTGGCTCCTGGCTTTGGATCGGCACAGCGCGCCGGCCATAGCGGCCATTAGGGGAGTGAACCAACTGAAGGAAGACCTTTCTCTCTGTCTCCCTCTCTCACTGTCTAACTCTGCCTATAAAAAAAAAGCAAATTCAAAAGAACAGTGAGTAGATTACAAAGATTAAAGAAGTCATAATAAGTAAAACAAAGTCATCAAATACAGTCCCTATCTTTGAGACATAAAATAGTCAACCTGAAAGAGATCGAATAGGAAGAAGCATTAATTAAGCAGAAGGCCCAATTGGTGATTACTTTTGGCATGGATTTTTGTTGTATGTTTCAAGACAAGGTGGAAGGGGTGATATGTGTAGGCATCTACCACTAAGAATAGAAGCTCAATCAATCAGAACAGATGCCCCCTAGCATGAGACATCAGTGAAGAAAAGCCGAAGAAATCCTGTTTTTAAGTATTGGAAGACCAGAACATGTCTATAAAAGGAAGACAGACTTCCCGTAGAGACAGAGAGAGGGGAGATGACTGATTGACCAATGTTATGGAAGAGACTGAAAAACATATGGTAGGGAGAACACATGACAATTTAGTCACAGAAAAAAAGAAATACATTTTACCTTGCCATAGGAAAAAAAGTGAAGCCAAAGTTAGGGGAAGGGAATGGTTGCAGTAATACATGAGGACAATGGGAGAAAACTTTCAGGAGTTCATGGTGGATAACATGGACAAAGACAGCAGTGGTGATGAGTATAGAGTAAGAGAAGTTATGAGATTGGAAGTTGAGGAGCAATGAAAATCTAAAACAGCTGCTATGAAGAATGCAATAAGAATTTAACAAGCAGTAAATAAAGAAAAGGATTGACAAGTCGCATTAAGAACCCAAATGAAGTTGGATAGCATGAATTTGCAGTGGACCAAGTCTGCAGTTTCGTGACTTTCTGTAACATCTAGCAATTTACATGGTCTTATCACCTCATCAGTTGTTCCTCAATGCATACTTTCCTCTTCAATTTTTTTTTAAATCCACTTTTCAATAAATCCAATAATGAGCTAGGACCCCGAGCATCTGATAAAAATATGTAGCACAAGAAAAGACAAAATTACATTTAACCTAGTTTTTGTTTAATTTTCCCTCCATTATTCTTATACTCACAATGTTATACCAATGAATGACCAAATGAATATTATTTTCTATTAAAGTAAGATTATAAAAATATGATTACAGGGATCAGCGCCATGGCTCACTTGGTTAATCTTCCACCTGTGGTGCCAGAATCCCATATGAGCTCGGGTTCTAGTCCTGGTTGCTCCTCTTCCAGTCCAGCTCTCTGCTGTGGCCCAGGAAGGCAGTGGAGGATGGCCCAAGTGCTTGGGACCCTGCATCCAGACCAGGAAGAAGCACCTGGCTCCTGGCTTCGGATTGGTGCAGTGCCGGCCATAGCGGCCATTTGGGAAGTGAACCAACGAAAGGAAGACCTTTCTGTCTCTCTCTCTCACTGTCTATTACTCTACCTGTCAAAAAAAAAAAAAAAAAAAAAGATCATATAATTGCAGAGCCTTAGTCCACCCGAACGAGGATGGACTGGGTCCGAAGAAAGGTAAGTGCGACATTCGCCCGTTCCCCAGCCTCCCAATCCCGGAGACAGTCAGACACAGCGGGGAATCAAGTCAAGCAAGCAAGAACTCAGTTTATTGCACATGTAGCAAAGCCTTTTAAAGCGCAAAACCACAGGATTACTGGGGCAGGGCATAAGGACCAACCAATTACTTAAAAGGTCATTTTACGGGGCAACTTTTTACAGGACCAGCCACATGTCTGTACACTCGTCATCAGTTGTCATCACCTCCCCTGATGCTGTGTGGCCAATCAGCTTTGGTGGTAAATGACTTTGAGTACTGCCCACCTTACTTCCTTTGGGCGCCATCATTGAGTTGCCTTGTGTGCCTAATTTCCCCACAGGCAGCATCTGAGGTTAGTTCATTTTTGTTAGTAAAGCAATATAACAAGATTTTCCACATATAATTACCATAATAAATGTAAAAATTCAATTAAATTACTTAATTTAACTGATATTCATATTTTATTCCAAGGGTTGGCAAACAAAAGTCAGCCCACCATCTGGTTTATGTATATCCTATAAGTTAAGAATAGTTTTGTACTCTTAAGTGGTTGAAAAAAAAAAAGAATTTTATGACTTGTTAAAATTGTATGATATTTGAATTTCAGCATTCTTGAATATTTTATTAAAACACATCCATGCTCATCATTGACATGCCTATGGTTGTTAAACAACTCAAAGACAACATTGAGTAGTCATAACATATCTTTATGGCCCAGCTTTTCCTTACCAAATGAAATACTTGAGTCAACTGTTTTATTAAAGAAAAATGGGTTTATTTTGGCTCCTGACTCTGGAAAAACAAATAGCATTGCACAGGCTCTAGAAAGCACCCCAGCCCCCAGCTGCCTCACATAGCAGGAGTATGTGTCTTTGTGTCTTAAGTGTTCTCTCTCCCTTTGTTTTTATAAAGCCATCAGGATTCCATCATGGAAGCCACACCCTAAATAAACTAATCCAATCACTTTCCAAAGGCACCACCATAGTCTGAGTTGCCACCCTCTTAATACCTAACCAATTATGCTGAGTTCATGTTCATACACAGAACACACAGAGCCTAAAATACTGGCTAGCAGTCCCTTTACAGAGTGTGCCAAACCTTTCTCCACTCATCCATTTAACCAATATTCACTGAACATCTAGTCTATATTAGGTATTAAGTATTTGGAAAATAAAGGAATGGAAAAGGGACACAGTTCTTACTCTTCTGGATACTCTATTCTCCTAGAGGTGATAAGTTAATGCTATTTTAAAAGATCTAGCCCTCTTGAGCTCTGGGTGGAGTCCACACTCTGGCCAGATGTGGCTTCTGGGCTCCTGATCTAAGTCTAACTCATACCCCACCACCTAGCAAAGTCAACCAAAAATGCAGAGATGAAGCTTTAATTCAAGAATTTTTATTTTGGAATAAATAATAAGATTGTAATCTGATACATATATGCTCAGGCCAGGATGGCAGCTGGTATGTTCAGGGAACAAAAGAAAGGTTAGAGGTTGATTAGGACAAGGAATTCTATGTAAGCGAAAGTTTACAAGCACTTTCGCACTTTTGGGAGCCAGCAAGCTCTAAGCAGAGGCAGTTACCACGTAAAGTTAGTCTTAAGACTATAGTTGGCAGTTCCGACGTCAGCTGCTGAGTAAAATTAGTCTTAAAGATAGGGCAGGCTGTTTCGTTGGGTTGTTTCCGTGCGACCGTTCCTGGAGCAGACGATCTTGCCCTGAATGTTTTCCTTCCCATAGTTTCTCTACTCCATTTTAATGAGATGTGACAGAAATATTTTATAATGAATTTTCAGACCGTCAAGACGGAAGGCAGCACAAGGGGACTTGCCTCTCCAGGTGAGTGAAGGTCACTGTGCAAGTCATTGAAAATAATAAAAATAAAGAGTTCACATAAACTCGTAATGAGCAAATGGAAGTCAGGTCTCGAAGAATTAGTATCTGGCGCCAGGTGCATGCAGAGTGGCTTCTGGGTCTGGGACTGGATGGTCAAAGTCTGTCCTAGTCCCCGTGCCAGTAGAGTTGGCAGAATTCTCCAGTGAAGGCAGAGATCTGAAGGGCAAAGATGAGGAAAAGGCTACAGAAGCTGCTACAAGAGGGCTTGAGACTCCAGGGTTGCTCTCGGCTATTTGTCTTCTCAAGTTCTGGGCAGCTCCTCCCTTTCTCTTTTTTGTGTTCTTAAGAGGTAAGTATTAGTTCTGGAGACCTCACAGAGCTATTTAGTCCAGGCCTGGGTCTAAGAGCAGGCTTGGGGCTTCAGGAGAGGCGAGCAGGTGTCGGGCCGGAGTCGTCGCTGGCCTTGGTGTCTTCCTCGATCTTCCACAACACCAGACTCATGCAGGAACTGGCGTCCTCCTGGGAGTTGTGCCCACGCACGTCATCCTGGATGACCTTGTGGAGGTAGTCGGCCATGAGATTCCGCAGCGAGCGCTTGAACGGGAGGCCCAAGTGATGGGGGAAGAGCACAGATGTGTCCACCACCGTGCAGTGGATGACCTTCAGGGTCAACAGGTCGCTCTCCAGGCTGTGCCCGATGAGGATGGTGTCGGCGCTGAACAGGCTCAGCAGGACGGCCTGGACGTCGCGCAGCGTGACGTTGGTGTGGGCGAGGTCGGCCTCGGTCACCCCGGAAAACTTGGTGTTATAGTCCACGATCTCGTTATCGGGCTTGACGAAGGTGTCGTACACCACTCGCATTTCGGGGTCCACCACCGTGACCCGCGTCAGCTCCAGCCCCAGCGTTGTGTAAGACATTTCGCAGTCAAGGGCGTAGACGCCAGGCTGGGCGGGGTGAGACCGCGCCCTCTCCGGGGTCTTCACAAACCCTTGGAGGTTTTCCTTCCGGCCGTCTTGGACATGCCGCTTGGCGACCCGGCAGCCGGCAGAGCCCAAAGCCTCCGCGCAGCATATGTACCTGGTCTCCCAGCCGCCAGCCGCCTCTGCCGGCCGAAGCCGCCCCCAGTGGTAGCGACACTCCTGGTCGCCAGCACTGAGGCCCGAAGGCAACACCGGGTACTTGGTGCCACAGCGGCAGCAGATTCTGCAGGAGGCGTCTTTGGGCAGCTTCTCCTGGCCTTTGAAGAGGATGGCTCCCCCTGGCCGTTCAGGGTGCGGGAAGGGGTAGCCGTTCTCCTTGAGCTGGTCTTCGGTGAGCAGGTAGCGGCCGAGGTGCCTGTACAGGGAGGCGCTGTTGGGACTTGGCGCGGCGCTGGGCACTAGGCCCCTGAGCCTCCGGAGGGTGCTCGCGGCGACGTCCACGTAGATTCTTTTGCTGGGGCTGCAGTCGTAGGCCACCTTCTCCTCGTTCAGCGCTTTCTCTGTGGCCTCCTGATTGGAAGAGCAGAACTTGAGACATTCCTCGATAAACAAGCTGAGGTAACGTTGGCGGACCACAGAGGGGACTTTGCCCTCACGCTCTTTGGAGACGATGGGTTTGTTGAAACCCTGGGAGGCGGGGCTGGAAGCGATCCGCTTGGACGGGATGGTGGTGGTGGTCTTGGGCACCATCCCCGACCACGTGCGCGCCTTGGGTGGCCGGCTGCCAGGCTCGGGGACTGGGACGGGCAGGCTGCTGCTGGCCGCGAGGGGCCTCTTGGCACCTATAGGCACTGCGGACGAGCCGGGCTTGGCGACATAGGCAGTCCTCCTTTTCTCACCGGGGGCTGAGATGTAGACCGAGTAAGGCTCCTCAGGCGGCCGGGGGGCAGCTTGTAGCCAGCGGAATGATTCCATGTGCGCCTGTGGGGCCGGCCAGAACCACCCGTTCTGAGGTGTCCCGGGCCAGGCCCGGGACAACGCCGGGCCTCTCCTCGGGGGCTCGGCATGGATGACGACAAATTTGGGGGCCTGGGTGCACATCTGAGGCACCCAGATCAAGCCGCCCCAGGCAGGATGGTAGCAAGGCGGCAGGAACGCCACGGCGGAGCGGACCACCCTTTCGGCCCTCCTCTGAGATTCTGGATGCCCTGGCGGGAACCAGCAGGGCGCAGTGGCCCTCAAGCTCATGCTGCCTCACAGTCCCGGAGCGTCTCTGTGAGAGATCCGTGCTCCTGGCCCTTATATAGGCCGAGGGTGGGGCGGAAATCCCTGGTCCTGTTTAGGTACACACCTTAATCTGCTATTTTTTGATTTGATTTTCCTCAGTATTCTAGCTTCCGAAGTCCCAGGGGCCCCTCTACTGAGAAAGGTCTAATGTTTGGATCAGTGGATCTCCTAGATTGTAATTTTGGAGCCAGGTTCTATGCCCTGAACTTTTCCCGCGCTTACTCACAGAACCCTGCAGGGACCCTAGGATCTTAAAACCTCAGTGGTTGCTGCCGCGGCACCACAGAGGAAGAAATCAAGGCTTTAAGTGTCCGTACTTTGCCCAAGAACACACAGTCCAGCGTGAGCCAGTTAGTCTGGAAGACGCTGGTTACTCTGGGGCTGCTTCGTGTCTCATTCTTCCTTGCTTGCCGACCCCTCCCCAGCCCTGTGGACCATTTGAGGCAGGATGTGGACAGGACTCATTTCTGTCCCAGGACACAGGCGGACTTGGATGCAAGTTGAATTCATGGGCACAAGGACATAGAGACCTTATTTCTGAAGATGGGTGGGCAGGTAGGGACTGTGAGAATAATCTTGGTACCCAGAAGTTCTTTCTCCCCTTCACCCTTTAAAACCAGGATAAATTTCAAAAGGGAGACATTAAATTAAAAGACAATAAATTAGAAGAGAAATTGAGGGCTGTAATGGTAAAAAGCACCTGGGCTTTGTACTTGTCAGAGGCCTGGCTTAAGTGAAGTTCTAGAAGAATCTTAAAAGTTAATATTCATACCAAACCACTTATCACCAATAAAAATTGATTTAAATTCTTAGAGATAAAGATAGGAAAAGTTGTACTGATCAAAGATTTCAGTATATAAATTTATCATGGACTATGAATATAAAATGTATGTAAAGTTCCATTCAAAAATAATGAATGGATTTAAAATTGATAATGGACTTAAAATTCGACCAATAAAATATCAGTGGATATGGCATTTCCTGTGTGTCTCACAGTTTGAGAAAACCAGGTATGAATGAAAATTTATAAGCCATATATTTACTCTGAAAGATTTTACACCATTCAAGTAAATAAGACTTATGTGGATATGAAATAATATAATAATAACATGATTTTATATAGCACAATGCAAAATTTTATTGTATAATGTAAATGGACAGTCAAAAGTGAAGCGAAACAGGGCTGTCTGGATTTACTAAAAAAGATTGCAAAAACATACAAAAAAAAGATGTGACATCATGGATAGGATTCATCCATAAGCTGTAAATACATCAAGAGAAAGGTAGTTGGCATTTCAGGTAGCAGACATGATGAAGGCACACACTAGACATGTACATGGAGTGTAGGTGAAAAATACAATGAGTCCTATAAAAGGGGGCATTGAGGATCAGGAATTTGAATAATTATAGGCATATCCTTGATAACAAAGAAAGAACCCCTGAATTCTAGTTTGGTAATATTTTCATTGAATCATGAAATCATTTTTTTCTGTATCACAATTAGATGTTTAAGTCCAAAATAAAAATAAAAATGAAAGAAAAGAGCACAAATATATTCCCCAAGAGATATACGACACTACAAGGGTAGCCATAGAGTATAGATTTTGTAGAACACTGTCCTCCCTAGCTGTCCTTAAGATAAATTCCAGGAAGAGCATTTGGACAGGAAAACTTTTCTCACTAGGGCAGTGCATCACATGCTGTATTTGGTACAAATATATTTCTATAAAATATTTTGTAACTATCACAGTTTTGGTATCATGTTAAAATGCTCTTGTTCACATGTTTTTGTTCATTCCTAGTAAAAACATTTGTTTGCCATTAGGGATTCATGAGTAGAATGTTATATGTTATGTGTATTGTGTGTAAATTTTAATTAGACCACTTTCTGAAACTATTTTAGCTTAAATCATTAGTAAAGATTTCCATCCCTAAAAATTTAACTACACATTCTCCCTGAATGAAATTCCCAGTTACCAGAAGCAGAAAGCTGGCTCTTACAAGAGTTTGGGGAGACTATTCATTAGAACTGAAAACAAAAACTCCAGCAGAGACTGGAAATCAGACAGATTTGGAATTCTAAATAGCTGAACATGTCTTTGGGAATCCATCTGGAATGAATTTCAGGTGATTCCCATGCAGAGAGGCAGTTTCTAGTGTCAAATGAAAACCATATCCAAAAGTTTAAATCTGAAGTTGTGTTTAATAAGCCTTCTTGAAACTGAGTTTATAATCTTCCTCTAAATCAACAAATCGAAGGAAAGATATAAAAGCAAAGCCATATAAAACCAAAACCTATCAGATTTTCTAATTTTTTCTATTATAAATTAGTTTGGCACAGTTGTCACCAATAAATTGAAATTAATTTTTCATTGTTACATCTTCACCAGAACCAAAACATATCTACCATGTTCTTCCTAAATATTTCTTAATTATCCAGGTAAATCTGTAGCCAACATTAAGTCTTGCTACTTTTATTATATTACAAATGTATTATAAGCTCCTCTTCCTGTATTTGAAAACTCAGCTGGTTACAGTGACTCATTTATCTCTGCTATCCAGATTAGAAATCTCTTTGTTTGCCTTCCTCCTCTTCATTTTCTTCATTTAATTGGTTGCCAAGTATAGAATGTAGGAGAAATTTGACTGCAACAATTTTACAACCTATTGATCAACCATATTGCTTGATTTACTTGTCTGAACTAATGAGGTTTGTGACCCTTCCATATTGTTCCATGCATTTTTCCCCCAGTGCCACATAATTGAAAGGGATTAATTTACCAGACTAATGTTAAATACTAGGCCTTCAGAATTCTGAGATTATCTTTGCCTTTAATAATTAAGTAGTATGGATTTAGGCCCATTTTACCTGTTTCTTGTGAACTATTGCTACCCCACACTGTACTGTGGAACACTAGAACCTATTACTTCTATCTAATTGTGCTTTTGTACCCATTATCCAACTTTATCTTTTTCTCCCTACTCTTCATCTCAAGTAATCACTATTGACTATTTTTAAACTCACCTGAACATGACTATGCAGCATTCTAATGGCTCTATAATATTCCATTGTGCATATATAGCATATCTTCTGTGTCCATTTGACCATAAATAGATATTTAGGTTGATTCCATATGTTAGCTATGCACATGGCAGTTCAGGTATCTCTTCCATATACTGATTTGATTTCCTTCAGATATATACCCAGAATTCATGTGGCTAACCATATAACAGATTTATTTTCAGTGTTTTGAAGAACTTTCATACCATTCTCCATAATGGCTATACTAATTTACATCCCCACTAACTGCGAATAAGAATTCTTTTTTATGTGCATCCTCATCAGCATTTATTATTTTTGTCTTTTTATTAATAGCCAGTATGACTTGAGTGATATGGTATATAATTGTGATTTTGATTTGCATTTCCCTGATGGATAGTGATATTGAGCATTTTCATATATTTGTTAGTCATTACTATTCAAATTGTAGTTATGAAATGCATGAAGTTTGTGTCACTTAAATAAAAGATTTCTGGGGGAAAAAGAAATAAAAGAAAGGAAAAAAACTAAAATAAATTTTAAAAGAGAAAAAAATAAGAATCCAAAAATGTATATTACTATCAATAAAACAAGCACCAGAAAAAGAAATCTATTCAGCTCCTTTTCCTGTTTCTTAACTGAACTGTTTTGTTGTTGTTGACTGTTTTGATATCTGGGTTTTTTTTGTTTATTTAAAAAAAAGATTTATTTATTTATTTAAGGGCAGAGTTATGGGGGGAAGGAGGAGGAGGAAGGAGAGAGTGTTCCATCTGTTTGTTCACTGCCCAAATAGCTGTAGCAGGGCCATGCTGAAGCCAGTACCCAGGAGTTTCTTCTGCATCTCCCACATGGGTGCAGGGGCCCAAGCACTGGGGCCATCCTCTGATGCTTTCCCAGGCACATTAACAGGGTACTGGATCAGAAGTGGAGCAGCTGGGATTCAAACCAGTGTTCATATGGGATACTGACACCACAGGCAGAAGCTTTACCTGCTGGCACTTGAGCTCTCTATATATTGTGGATGTTATAGTCCTTTGTCAGGTGAATAGTTTGCAGATATTTCTCTTATTCTTTTGGTTGTCTCCTCACTCTGTTCATTGTTTTCTTTGCTGTGTAGAAGCCTCTTATTTTGACATAATCTCATTTGTCCAGTTTTTCTTTTGTTACCTTGTGCTTTGGGGATCTTATTCAAAAAATCATTGCGTATTCTAATGTCTAGAGATATGTTCCCTAAGTTTTCTTCTAGTAGTTTCACAATTTAAGAATTTGTATTTAGGCCTTTGATCTGTTTTCAGTTGATTTTTTAATAGGGCGAGGTGGGGGAGGGTCATGTTTGAATTTTCTGCATATGGATATCCAGTTTTCCCAGCATCATGCATGGGAATGTCCTTTCTTCAGTGTATATTTGTGGTGCCTTTGTTGAGAATCAGTTGTCTGTAGAAGCTGGAATTCATTTCTGAAATCTCTGTTCTGAACCACTGGCCTATGTGTGTTTGTGTGTTTTTATGCCAGTGCCATGCTGTGGGGTTACAAATAACCCTGCAGTGTATCTTTTATTTATTTTATTTATTTATATATTTCACATATAGAAGAGACAGAGGGAGAAGGAGATCTTCCATATGCTGGTTCACTCCCCAGATGGCTGCAACAGCCAGGGCTGGTCAAAGCCAGGAGCCAGAAACTCCATCCAGGTCTCATATGTGGGTGTCAGGGGCCCAAGAACTTGATATATTTTCTGTTGATTTTCCATGTGCATTAGGAGGGAATTAGAATGGAAGCAAAGCATCCAGAACTCAATTGGTGTGCACATATAGGAGTCCAGTGATAGGGACTCCGGGGGCCCCTGGAAAGGAAAGAAAAATATAGGAAAGAAAAAAACACATGATGTAACTCCTGGAGCCCTGAGGGAGGGAGAAACAGGAGACGGAAAAACATGTACAGTGTAATCTTCAGATATTGTTGAGCCAC